AAATGGTACTGATTGTGAGTACCGAATGAAGTAACATACCGCTTCTTCCACCTGTCGTTTATAGGTTTTAATTTTGCCTTGCAGTTTCTCCACCAAATCGTACATACGTTCAGCGGCTTTCTTGTCCTCGTCAACTTGGAACGCGAGTTCACGGACTCGACGATCCTTATTACGAAGAGTCTTTTGAGTTTCGCCGTGTCTTCGGCACTCCTCGGCCAATTCACTCTCCAATTCCCGCACTCGTTGATCCAACTTTGCCAGAATTCGTTTGCCACCTTTCATCGCGGATGCTTCCGCTTCATCGAGATGTGACTGCATTTCCTGAAAGCATTTGTGACCATTTGAGCAATCCGATTTAATTGCATAATAACTTGAACCGAAAAAATCCATCGTGTGCTTTGAGTGAAATGAATGAATGCCTTCCTGATAATCAACCGTGTCAATTAAAAGGTGGAATAAGAGGTTGCAACAGCTGTGTATCAAAGTAAATCTCAACAGACTGTTACTGCCTGCGATACCTTGATTTGCAACTCGAATCCTTTCTTTTGTCTATCAAGGTTCTGCGAATGCTCTTGTTCAGCGCGCAGCTCTTCAGCCAAACGTGACGCATCCATCATGGCTTTCTTACAACGATCGTCGGTATTTTTTAAGTCACTTAACGCTTCACTGATCTCGGCATGAAGTTGCTGCAAACATTTTAGTAGCAGCAATCTTTAATGATCAATCATCAACAGAACGGATGGATCGAAGATGTTCAGCTAACTAATAGTAAGCATCAATAGTAGATATTTATTCGAACATTATGTGATCATGCGAGAGGGTCGTCATTACACTATATTCATTTGAATATTGAACAAACTCGGACGCTAGAATCGGAATCTGATCACCTTGCTAGTAGGCAAATGATCAAATAATGGTAAGTGAAAAGAGCGTTTGAAAACATTGAGACAATTTAAGGAAGAAAAGCTGAACACGAGCTCACATCCATATCAACTTCAAGCTTTCGTTTCATTGCTGACAACTGTCCATTGCTCGCCGTAAGAGCACCAATCGTTTCCTTGGCGTCAGCCAATTCGAGTTCGGATTGACGACGTGAACGTTCAGCCTATAATTCACACAACTGACATTTCAGGATCGCTTTGAATCGATGAATATAAAAACTGGACAAGTGGAATAATGGCACTCAATTACACCACCAGAAATTCAAGCCTTCGAGTATAATCACAAAAAGTGATCAAAACAGCTCGCTTCTGATTTATAATACTCTTGTAGATTAGGATCTCCTCTCTACGACGGTACCAAGAAATTGATATGTTAGTGGGCAAACTTGAGGAGACAGGCAGGTTGAA